ATGAACTGAGTGTATCTTCATTAACTGAATTAAACAAAACATACAAAATGGTGAATATCTGATTTACATTTGATTATTCAAATAATCAAGTTTTCCTTTTTAGCCATAAATGCAATTGAATTGGCATTACCATTCCAGGTGTCACTTTCCCGATTTTTTCAGGGTTCTCTTTGGATCTGCCGTGAACCATGAGCGCCAGAGTGTTTTCTTCCTACGTTCTTAGGAGAGTTAAATTCCAAGTTCTGCTTTGGACCACCATAAGATATGACAATCTGTGATGGAAAAATATTATTTGAAGGAATTCATGAAAATTATAGGTAAAGGTGGCCCTATTGATAAAGGATATTCGGAAATCCAGTAAATTTAGATAAAGTCCTTTACCAAAGTCAGACGATATGAGGGAGGATACTTCAGCTCAGGAGATACATTTCTGAGAGAAGACACCATAGAGATATGTAAAATGCAATGGCATGGTGATGAGTAACAGCGTATAGAGGAGAGCATCTGTAGGAAGATAAAAGGGTCCTTTAGTTCCCAAAGTCAGCTCTGTGCACATTTGGTGCATGAAGCTTCTGTATTTTTTTTTAATCTGCTGTCTTTATATGCTGGTTCTCATGATATTAGAATCAGGGACACCAACCTAAATGACCAGAAAATGGATTTGAAACAAGCAGAATGAATTATCTCTTCATATAGCTAATAACTATTGACACTTTCTGTCACAGAGTTTTTGAGTCTGTTACAGACTCAAAAATATTGAGTCCCAAAAACAGTTAAACAGACTCATAGAGGAAGTGTCCATCAAGACCTGTTAAACACCAAGATGAGATACAGCGTTCAGTTCAAGAAATCCCTAATGGTCAGAGTCCTGGAAGCTGAGATGGAAAGTACTGGGAGTCTTACACTATATTTTTCCCTATTTGTCCAGGAGAGAATAGCAGAGCTGGAAGAACATTTGACCTGCCACACTACCAGTGTGCTTGGTTTAAGTTGTCTTCCTTTCTGAATTTAAGTCAAATAGGGAGCCAAGTCCAATCCCTTTTATGCTTTGATCTGTTTTTATTGAAATAAAATGCAGTGAGGAACTGTATGCTATTTTCTTTTTTAATAAAAACAGCTAGTTGAGATAGCATCTAAAGATATTGTTTCCTATGGTCAGTATAGACATGTAGGTTTACATATCCTGTACTCAAAGGGTTCACCATGCAGAGCAAGACAGAACAAACAGCTGTAACAAATAATAGAAAGTAGGAATAACAGGTACGTTTTCTGTTGCTAGAACCATGAGCTAAGTGCACATTTCCTGTCTGAATCATTTAATATTTCTTTGGGTTTTTTCTCCTCAAAATAACTATCTACTATATTTGAGTGCCAATTATTGCAGAGTTTTAGCCTGGTTTTGATTCAAAGCTCATTGGAAAAACAGTTGGGGAAATACGTGCACTTTAGGTAAAGTGTCATTGTAGGTTGGCATCTCTGATTGGGGCAGGATTAAATTTACAAAATCAACAGCTTGAAAAAGACTTCTTTCTTTCTTTCTCTTTTGTGGAACTAACAACACATTTGAAACCCCAGGGTGCCATTTAATTGGGTGAGTTTTCAGCATCTTTAGCCACTGACTCAACTTACCAGTTCTATGGAAAAAGTGTTATGGAGTTAGCATTTTCTTCATAAAAGGGAATTCTATTAAATTTTATGTATTTTATGTGATATGAGAGATGTCTTATGAATATAGTTCTAGAGGTTGATGATGTATTATATCAGTACCCAACTTCCCTCTGCTTCAATGTAGGCATTTAATCATAATTTATTATCTCCCACTGCTATACTTACCTACTCTTCCCACCAATACTAACCCTCTTTTTCTAATTTAGTTAAAGCCTAAGACACTCAATTAGGAATTGGCATTATAGATTTGCAGAATAAGTTCTGTTAATTTTCTTTTATGGACCGCTATGGTAGAACATTTACTTTAAGTACACTAAAAGCATTTAGTAGTATACTTAAATTATCCTAATAGTTTACTGTGTTGTATATTCTTACCAGATGCAATTGGAAAATTGCATAATATTACATCTGTCACAAAAAAAGAATGTAATTCTATTGTTATACCTTTTCTATGGCAGATGCCATACTAATTACATCATTTGACAATTACTTAATATAGCAGATTATATATAATCTTTTTCATGAGTAAGACAGCATTACATAATTGTCAAATGACCCAATGGAAGAAATAATTCATGTACTGATTAGTATTACTAATCTTAATTATATATTTACAGCTTTATTAAATGTACTTAGACAAGGGTAAAAAGTTCCCCAAATACCTAAGTGACTTAGGATATAGATGCAGTAAAGAATTTGAAACAAGATTTAGACAGAAGCATGTTCCCTTGGTAAATAGTTCTCATTAAGTGTCTCGTAAGTTCTTATTAAGTGTCTTCCTAATCCTGGAGGTACAATGCTCTATGTTTTTCTTCCTATTTAACATGAAAATTCTCTTTGAGTTCTACTACTGTGCAAGCCAGAGCTGTGTATATCTAAAACCATTCAAGAAACTAGCTGTTTCTCCACCATCCCCATAAGAAGTAAAACATGCCAAACACCAGTCAAGAGAAACTTCCCATAAAATTTCCTTTCCATGGAGAAAGCTGCTAAGTAGCACTTACCCATTATGTAAGTCGTTCCATGGTGAGAGCTTTCATCTTAGAAATAGGAAGCACTGGTTTTACTACTGCCTTAACCGGAGAGGACTCAGATCTGCGTGTCGTTAGTATGGAAGTGACCAAGCTCCAGGATAGGGAAAATGATAAGAGATCAGAAAGGAAGCTGGAAAAGCACTTCTTTCCCTAAGTTAAAGCTAAGTTGCCATGCAGCACAGAATTCAAGATTAGCAGTATATCCAGAAAATCTTTAATGACTGAATTGCGGTCGTGCAGTGCCTCAGCAGAAAGGAAACGTTTCTTTCAACCTTGAACCTATCCTCTCTAGTTTACGAAACTGCCGTGGGAGGAAAGAACTGTAAATTCCTACCTCAGTCAGAGAAGGGGAAATTTCTCCCTCTTCACTGCTGTTTGCTCTAAAAGCTGAAGGTAGATTTGTTTTTAAATGACTATGTAGATTTAGCAAAACTGGCTAAGTGTGTTTAAGAGTGTCACTTGGACTGTTTTTTTCTCCTCAGTTAGGTATTTAGGTTTTTTGAAGCTGTGAGCTTTTGTGGGTAGACTGCCTTGGGTATCTGATCTGACTTGAGTATTTCTATCCTGTTTTCTGCAGCGTAAGATCTATACTATTAATAAAAACACCTGCTATTTTCAGCTACATGAAATTAAAAAAAAAATCGAAAGAATTTCAATTACTTGAAAGAGTAAGAAAGAATTGTGGGCTGTGGGTACAGGGTGGAAGTAGATATCTTTCTGCAATGCCGAGTTAGGTGGGTAAAATTCCAGGTGGAATTGTGTCTATACTTCCTCTTCACTAGTTCCAGGGAATATCCAGTTCAAGGAACTATTTGAATTCAGTCCCATGCTGAGTCACATAATTTGCCCTTGGTGCGGATCCAGACGTCTAGCTGGCCCAGTCCTTGCTTCCGTTCCACAGGCTAATCACATGAAGGTTAGGCATCATCATGGTTTGTTGGTGAAGTTTAGGTCCATTGAAGGATGGTAGCTCTTAAGGTCTCTGCATCAGCTTCATCTAAGCAATTGTCCTTTGGTGCGACCGCAGACGCGTACATCTGAGCTCACTGTCTAAACTGCCTTTGCAGTTAGTGGATGGAAAGCGGCACGTGCTGTGATGGAATGCATCCCGTTGAAAAATAGGCCAGAGAATCACTGTGTAAAATACCTTTTTTCTCCATATATACAGAAGTAAACTGTGACTGATTGAGGTGTAGGTACCTACGTCTACATTAGGTGAGAGGAATCTCACCCCCACCATTTCTACCTAGACCAGTTTTGAAAAGAGAATTTTAACAGCACAGCTCATTTTGAAAGTTTTTCCTCAGCTCTGTCTTTGATATTGATTGCCGTGCTAACCATGATGTGAAACATATTCATAACCTCTAAATATGAAAATTCTTTTCTGCTATTTTATTTTAATCATTATATTTCATGAAGTATTAATACTTTTGACAACATAAACTTCAGTTTGGAAATTTGAAGACAAACAAGTCAGAAAATGCTAGTGCAAGGATTTTAACTCTCGCAATTTGGGCCCAGTGGCTGCTTTTTGGTTTCAGTGCTACTTTTATGTGCTGTGGCTCCCAGGATGGCATCAATACTAAAACAGACACTTAGCCATATTTCTTTGTTTGGGGCATACTCTCAGGGACTCTGTCTGGAGCCTTGGGTTTTGTTCATTTCTCAGAGTGCCCTCCACACGTGTTAGAGTTTATGTGCATTCAGATAATAGACGGAGTAATGCTGCAGCTATCTATTCTTGAAGTAACAATATCAGGCAGCCAAGGTGATCCAAAATCTTTTTCTGTATACCTGTCAGAAGGGTAAATGGGGTTTGTACATAACCTATAGACTGAAGGCAACTTTCCTCCAAAGGCAGGATAAGTGGTTGGAGCTTGTCTTGCGTGTGAGCTGGGATTCAGATCACTCCAGGAGTGTCTTACCGTGGTGAGTGCGGACAGTATCCTACTGCCAAGAAGACCTGTGGTCCGGGACTCACTCATCCTGGAGGGAAAGTAATATTTACATCACTGTCTCCTGCTCTATACTGCACTTTTGATTCAGAGTCTTGCACTGTGAAAGTGTTTTACTATCAATCTGATGAAATTTCTTCTGTACACACAGAGAGACACGATGTTCAACAACCAGTTCATCTGGTTAAAATTATTGGCATTGTTAAGAAAGGAGCAAATGGCACTACCTGGTGCCAGCCTTTAATGGTGGAGTGCAAAAAAAACATAGTTCAATTTTTACTGATATAAGGTTTTTAATAAATGCATTGGTCATCACTAATGATGTCACAATATTTTATTATAGGTTACTTATGAAATTGCTGGCTCAATAGAAAAAAATAAAGATTCCCTTTCACAAAATCTCCTATTTGTAATGAAAAGTAAGTAATTGGTTTTGTGATTGCTGTTGTTAGAGAGCAACATTACTATGACTTGACTGTAAATTTCATTTTAATTTTAAGAGGAGTTTATATATACTTTTATTGCCACTGACAAAAAAATCAGCCTCTTCTTTTTGAAGTATGCACATGCATTGTTTGAAATTTACTCTAAATTTTAATTTAGAAAGCTTTTAGAATCTGTGAATATAAAGCATCTTTATATAATGTGATATGATGTAAAGAATTAATGTGTTGTAAAGAAGATACAATGTGATAGATGAGTATGGATTAAAAAATCTCATTAAGTATGAATTAAAACAACTCTGCCCCAGAAAATAAGGAAAGTAAATAAGGCTTATGAAGGAATGGAGACTGCAGTGGAATATACTTTGCTGCTCAAGTACCCTTTCTAAAAGTAGCATCTTGTGGGTGTTCTTTTGTTTTTCAATGAACAGATACAAATGTCCACTGAATTACAAAATTAAGTACCTTTCCATGTGCATGTTTTATAATTATATGTCTAAAAATAATGCATCCTAGTTTATTCATTTATGATTCATAATTAGATAACTGAAAACCTCTATCATTTACTGTTTCTATTAGGAAAAACAACACTTTTCTCAGGGAAATGTCAGTGTATCCTGAGATGTTATTTTTTTTTTCTTCAGAGTCTTTAACTTAAAATAGTATATATTATATTTCCTTCTGTAGAAATAAAGTTCTTTTGGAGGTCATATTTGTCTTCCAAATCAACACTACTATTACAGTATATTCACTTTTAGCAATTTTACTGTGAAATCAGCTAAATTCCAATCAATTCTTGGAAGTGTATTTGTCTTATGCTAATTACCACCACTGCATCAAAAATATTATGGCATTATTTTTTGAAAATGTTTATAAGCATGATCTTGATGTGGAGAAGTGTGAACTCAACTTGCTATAGATCTACCCTTCTCCTAGCCTCTTTTTTTTTTTTCCCTTTATATTGTATTTTGTATAATTATTTTCCTTTAGGGCAGTGATTGTCTATAATTGACTTGTATCAAGTGTCTTTATCATTTCTAACTGCTATATATTAGGTAAATGTTAAGTAGCATGCATCTCTCCTATTTGCTTTAATATAAGGATAAATAGCTGTAGGGTATGTGTCTGGAATGGAACAAAATTGAGAAGGAATTATCACAAAAGTAAACAAAAGTTTAGAAAGATCACAGTCTGAAAGGTTTTGCTTTCCACCTTGTATTGTTTAGCACAGGATCTGAATGTATTTAAAAATAATGTTGCTGATGGGGAACATCCTTAAATATCAAATACCATTTGATAACTAACAATGCATGAAAGAAGAGTTTATTGGGTTGTCCATTTGTTTTACATTTTTACTTATCTAACTGTATCTCCTACTGTCTGTCTTTTACCTTCCAAATACCGTGTATATACTTTTCTTATTTATATTTTATCTTCATGCATTAATTTCCTCTTTTTTCCCAGCCAGTGAAAATGTAGTCATCAATCAGTTGTTCCAGTCCAAGCTGACTCAAACTGGATCACTTGTTCCTCCATATCATTTTCTTAAAATCAAAGGGTGTAAAGCAGCTTTGCTTAGTAAAAAGTCATCAGTGGCCTATGCAAGTGGAGAAGCAAAGAAGTATATGGAGCTCAGCAAGGTAAGAATTAAAAACTCTTTCTGATCATTTTCTAAGGCTTTTCTCAGTTACTTCGTCTTTTCTGAAAGCTCCATTTCTTCCACTTAGTTCTCTATGTTCATTAAATTATTGAAATAATCTGGTTCTTAACTTCAACAGTAAAGCAGTAGTGAGAACTAGCAGGTAGTATATCCACAATAATATTGGTTCAAGAATGTCTTTCTTGGACTCTTTGAGCAGGAGGTTGGACTAAATGACCTTCTGAGGTCCCTTCGGCCTGAATCATTCTGTGATTCTATGGCTCTGTAATTTAGCGGTGATTCTTAGTTTTATGTCTGCGTAGGAACACTTCTTTGTTTCATCTCCTTGACTAACTTTTTGATGAATGATTAAGTAGCTTAAGATTGGAAGCTCAGAAATAAACCTCCGTATCTTTATTGTGTTAACAACTTGAGAGGATTTGTGATTTGCCAAAGATCATTTGTTTGGTTTTGTATAAAGCTCAGACCTGTAAATGTTGGAAAGTAGTATTCTTCTAAATGGTCACTTGCATGTAAATTTTCCCAAACTATTTGAATTCAAATCAAACTCACCCCATTTCTGAACTTGTCTCCATTTCTGTTAGGTGAGTCAGGAAAAAAAACAATAAAAAAAATAGAGAGAGAAAAAAAGGGAGGCTATTCAGCAAATTAATAATTCACACGTAACATTACCTCTTATTAGACAGATTTTTTTGTGCTGAGTTAAAAGGTTTTATAAAATTAGTGTTTCTTTATAGTAGTTAAACAAATTGTGAAGATTGCAGTTGTCCTAGAAGCTGAATGCTGCATTTGAGGAGAAATCACATAATTTGCTGAGTCCATTTTTGAGATAGCTTTGGAATTTCTTCTTCTTTTAGAAAAGAAGCAAGCAGTTGTCTCAGTCAACTGCCTTTCCAGGCTTCTTGAAGCTTACAACTTTATTTTGGCATATAGCTGCATAAAATTGATTCGTCATGGGATAAAGGAGCCTGCTGTCGTGTGTCATGTGGAGGGCTTCATGCAAGTACATCCAAAAAACAGCAATAGAAGTTTTCTTAGAGCCCCCCCCTGCTTATGGCATAACTTCAGTTTGCTGCTGTTGCCAGTAATCTCAGTGGAAATGGTGTTGATTTAAGGCTACATTTATCAAATGGCTGAGGCACAGCAGCATCTACTTCTAGGCGCCTTTCTACTAGAGTAAAAATCACAGCTTCCTAGTGAAAGCTTCCTAAGGATATGAGAAGGATCCTAGTCCCATGCATGGGAGGAAGCACCGAGGGTACGTTTAAGTTAGAACCCTGGTTCTAACTTCCAGTTCAAGCCAAGGGGAAACACCACTCAGCTGGGCTCTCTGAAAATAATGGGTTTTTTTACCATTCCAAAATAGCTTTTAACCTGGGGTTGCTCTCCTAAGAGATAGAAAACATGTTCAGATTCCTTTGCGGGGCATAATAGATGAAGTCAGATCGTCCAGATTCAGTGAGAACGCTATAAACCTTTAGGTACTAGATAAACGGTGGGAAGAACTTCATCCATCACCTGCCCACAGAGACAAGGATATCCATAAGGATGTACTTTGAGAAGAGTTGTGCAGATGAGACACACAGTTTGTGGATACTAAGTTGGCCTAATTTAAGCAAGGTACTGTGCAGAACAGCAGGACGGAAGCAAAACATTAGATATCTAAGTTGTTCCAGTGGCAAAAAACAAAGGCACCTGGCATTTTGGAATTGGACATCTGAGGCAGGAGATGGAGATAACTACCTAAATTTTTCTGTGGATTAAGGCCACGTCTATGACTGTGCTGTCCCACATAATTTCTTCCCTTTTGCAGTACAGCCTTGAAAATCTACTGTGATGAGCTCAAATAGTGCTGCTGTTGTTGTTGTAATTGGAAATGTAGTATAAGTCACATTCTTTATCAGCTTAAAATTAAAAGGACTATATTTTGGAAAATCATAACTACTGCTTTTTTTGAGTTTATCCTCAGGGTAAAGGCAACAAGGAAAATAAGAAATGAGAGGGAAAAAAAAAAGATGCATTAAGCAGAGAATTATCAACCAGGGAGACTGCCTGGGCATTCCATTAGTATTTGAAACTTGTTTGAGGCTGAACTGGAACTTACATCATACTGTAGGCAGTGGGAAATACCAGTTGAAAGGTATCCATGCCATTGTATATGGATGAAATGGAAAGAATCAGGAGGTACAGACTGAAAGAAACATTTTTGAGGGCAATGTGTTATGTTTTATCTCTCATGGTCTAAAAATTAGCATAAATCTGTTGGAAGCTTTTGTAAATGCCTGTTTCTCTCCATTGATTATAACAGGGGCCCAATGGCTTCATTCTTAGGTGTGTACCTATAGAAATCTCAATTGGGGCAGAGGAGACTTTTTCAGAGATGAGATCTCACTTGACTGAGGTAGTCACCTAGCCTCCATCATAGCCAGGGAAGAGAAACAGACACTTTTAGATGTCAGATAGGTGTTTGTTGTGATTCCTCCCTGCTCTCAGCTTGTCATCTGCAGTCTTAGCTATTTGCTAGGCTATATAATTCTAAGTTAGAAGAAGTACTAATTCTGAATATGGCGCATATCTCCTTATTGTCAGACCTTTCCACAGGTGACCCTTTCATTGATTTGGATCATGCTGTCACATGTAAGGATAGGCTACTTCTGCAAACTTACCGCTCTTCTCGTAGTACTGTCTGAGAGGGCAGGGTGGTCAACCCAAGACAGACATGAACAGATCTAAAAGCCAGCCAGAATTCTGGAGCACGTAAGTAGTCACAGAAATTTAGGGCTGCCTGCAGAAAGCTACCAGATCTCAAGTCTATGTATGTGACTTGCGAAGACTGTGTGTCCTTTCTGAGTGGAAGTCAGTGCATCCAGAACTGGAGTATCTTTATTCATACTCTCACAACTCTCCTTTGCTTGCATCGGCTCTTGCCCCACCTTGTTTTTGCATAATCTTTTCCTAATGCGTACTTTGGACCTGTTGCCCTCCCTGCCCACCCTTTGGGTGAATCAGTGGACTTCAAAGTTCATACAGCAGGAGTCTAGTAACATGAATACACATTACTAGCACAGGGCTTTCCTTTCTGTTGACTTTTCATTTCTCTTTCTTATCCTTTTGCTTCATTGTCTCTTAGTTTAAGAACTCATCTATTGCAAAGCTTTTGGTGTGTCTTCCACTTAAAGCTTTAAAACATTGTGCTGGTAGAGAGAGATCTTTTAAGAGAAGTTTTCAGCTTCTTGACAGAAATTACACAGTTTTACATATGTATTTTTTCTGTATATTAGCGGTACAAGGTTTTCCAGTGTAAAACTTCCTCTTGAAGCTGTATGGTAGAGGGTAATAGAGGGTACAGTTTGAGTGATAAAGTCTTATTCCTGAGGCTGTAGTTGGTATCCATGTTCAGATAAGTTGAATTAAATTCATTTTTTGTCCTTACCTTGTTTCCTTTCTTTTTTCTCTCCCATTCTGACCCAAGCATTTTTTTCCGTGGAAAGAAGTATGCAACACAGCACAGCAGACAGGAATTTTAGCCTCTGAAATTTTGTTCCTGACTCTTCCACTGACTCAGCAAATGGTCTTGAATCAGTGACTTAACTGTTGGGAGGAACGGCTGACTGCGTTATCCGTCAAGTGTAGATAACTATTCTACTTCTATTCCTAAAGCATTTTGTAAGCTTTAACTTAGAAGCATTATAGGCATGCTCATGATTTTTTTTTAATGGGAAGACCTGGAGCAAGCAGATCTCTCTTACATTTCTGTTTTGAAATAGGAGATGAATTTGCTTCTAAAATCTTATTGCAATCTGATAAGTGAGATTTGAAATGAAAAAGAGCTCCACAGTCGAAGCATAATGAGCAGAGAATTGCTGGCACTGTGTTATTTTTAGTGAAGTTTGCCCTAGGTGGGGCAAATTGAGGAGTTACATACTCTTTTGATGCAACTAAAAAAAAAGATAACAGTATACCAGAACATGCTGACCTGATAGAAAAGGAGTTTTATGGGGCAAGTGGACTGGAGAAAGGCCATAAAGAGAAGTCAGAGGTGAAAAGGCTGTCACTGATACAGAGATTTGAATATTAATCTAGCTGTTTGGTCAAATCTTAGAATGCAGTGATTTTGCCAGGCTTGTTTCTTGACACCACTGTTAGAATGATTAATCTGTACCATTTTAGTCTCAAAAATAGGAAGGAGAACAGTAAAAAAGAAATTTATTTGCCACTCCCAACTCTGATATGTAGTATATCTTTGGTTCTAATGAGGCATAAAGTTATGGATAATTTATAGATAAAATGGGTAAAATGGTTAAAAGAAAAGAAGAAGGTTTAACTACATTCACTTGTGCAGGAAGAAGACAGAAGGTATTTTTACAAGAATATTATTGTTTTATATTCAAAATTTTTCAGTCCTCCTTGCTTATGTTTATTCACTTAAGCATCTGCCAAAGGCATACAGAACCTCTTTAGAGAGAAACAGAATTGCACTATTAATATGCAAACTGTATGGGATACTAACTGCACAAGTCCTGCTTCTGCAGTAGAACTCCAGATCATATTACTTTGCTCAGTTATTTGGAAGTGGAATTTTATCTTTACAATAGCACACAGCTGCTTTTGAAATCAAAACTTTCTTGCCAGCCATGCTTCCACAGATATTTAAGGATATTCAGCCACTGTCTCAGTTCTTTCTGAAGCTCAAATCATTTGTCTGTCTATGACATGCTATTTGTGTACATATTTGCCTTTGTTAATAAACCATCTAACAGTGAAAATTAAGGTTTAGTGACGATCTTGAGTTAAAGATACTACATGTATCTTTAACTGCATGTGCTTTTCTCCTAACAGCTGTTGAAGAAGAAAGGAACTTCCTCGTTTCTTCAGAGACTGGAACGAGGAGGCCCAACCACTGTGGCAGCACAGCTCAGGGTTAGTGAATATTTGCTGGACAGAAATTTACTACATGAATAAATAAATAAAGCAGTAGTAGGATTTAAAAACAGCAATGGCAGAAAAATGTCGTGCCTGAGTAAGCAACTTGCATGCCTTTTAAGAAAATGATGTTGAAAAGTTTGGAAAAGCATGTATATGTTGCATTGTGCAACTGCTTTTGCTGCCCAGTAATGACTGATAACTGATTTTTTTCCACAGAAATCACTCACAGATATTATTGGGAAGCTGCAGAACTGTACACCACATTCTATTCATTGTATAAAACCTAATAACTCTAAGTCACCAGATACTTTTGACAATTTTTATGTATCTGCTCAGCTGCAGTATATTGGTGTCCTAGAGATGGTCAAAATTATACGACACGGATATCCAATACGTCTCCCTTTCACGGACTTCTTGTCAAGGTAAATTCTTTTGAGTTTGACAAAAGCTCTTTCTTACCTACATTACAATGCCTTCTGTCATGTTCAGAAAGTGCTTGCAGTCTTATTTTGCTGATGAACCTTTCAGACTTTCTTCACAGAAAAATGGTGTCTGCCAGCATGGAGTGTAGTGTTGGGGGTTTTTTAACTGAAATAATCATGAACTTCGTGGAAATACCTTTATGAAATATCATCAGCAAAATGTATTCAATTTTATAAAAAATATAATTTTAGGAATGCAAAAACAGAGTGGATATTGTGTGCAGCTAATTAGAAAGCAGAAGGAGAAATACATTTTTCTAGTTTATCAGTATAGGTGTAGTGGGTCCAGTATTTGTATTTCACATGCTAGGATTTATTTCTGCATGGTGATTAGTTATGAATGTTCATGCCCCAGCTCCATTTTTATTATTGTTGTCAGCAATGAGTGAAATTTTGAAGCAATTTAAGGAAAGGAAGAAAAGATATATGTTACCACTTATGGGTGAAGGCAAACTTTCCCCCCATCCTCATTTCATTTATTGGGTTTTGGCTAACTTCTTACATTCTCAAATGCTTCAGCAGGGACAAAGCACCGTCCAAGAGATACAAGGTAAGCAACGTCATGCACACACACATGTTCATACTCTGTGCATGTTCTGTGCCTTGACAATCAATCAGTTGTGATCTGGCCTATGTGTTATTTTAGTTCTGAAGAATACAACAGGAATATCTTACTTATCTGCATACTCATATCTAAACTTTCAGTTGTCCTCTTGGGAAAAGGTTGTGTGTGTTAAATTACTACTTAGACAGGGTCATAGTCTGTCTGGCAGTTCCGTGAATATTCAAAAAGCCCAGAACTAGGGGAGCTTATATCCCCACCACTTTCAAAGGTGATCATGTCCATCCTATGACCATACTGATCTTGCAGTGTGAATGCAGAAATGCAAGCTGGGTGAGGCCAGTTTGGATGTAGCAGCTCTGTTTTGCAGTGTAAAAGAATATAACTGTATGCACAAGGCCCATTTTTTGTCAATCGCCTTCAGTCTGAGAATGGCCCCAAGCATCTTCCTTCTAACAGGATAGGCATAAGCTATGGATGTCTGGTCTTTTGTGGATGAACTTTATTTTAAAATAACACTAAAAGAATATCTTAGTATTCAAATATAACATTGATTCTTCTCCTCCACTTCTTCAAGCACCTCCTGAAAACAGACTTTTACCTAAAAGTCTAGAGGCCACCTGATTTCACATAATAAATATTTATTTGAAATAATGATAATAAACCAGAATAGCAATAGAAGCGAAAAATATGATGCTAACAATGTTTATGATACTATTTTAAGGTGTTCCAGCCTTGTTACTCTCCATCTCTGCTCCTTTTTCTCTACAGCAAATTATCTTTATAAAGTCTTTTGCAGCTGGGCCCACGTCTTTTTACCTATTTACACCAAGTAGCATGCAGTTCCAATAATTGCTTTATTATAAATAAAATGAATGAAACAGTGGTGTGGCTAACATGGTTTCACTGAAAAAGAATACTGCTTTATAATATTGCCTGTTATAACTTGTTGAATCTACTCAGCAAATAGCGATAGTCACTCTGCATGTATCTCATAATACTACAAATTCTCATATGCATACACAAATAGGAAACATGTGACTCACAGAAGTACTTGTGGAACTCTTGTCCTAGAAGTACAGCAGAATGATCAGCACTGTAAGGCTTTTTACAGTAGCCATCACTGTCATGCAGGCCAAAGCTTATATTACTTTGAACAGCAAAAGATGCAAATCCTTCATTTTCCTCACATAACCAGTTAATCTTCATATTCATTTTCAGCTTATCTGAATGATTTTTTTCATTTCAAATAACGCAAGCATGTGGATATTTTTTCTGTTACTGGGTGAAAAGTTATCTATAACATTTTAAAGGAGAAGTGATAGTATTAGACTGCAGTTCAAAAATATTGCCAACTCTTAATGCTGTATTTTTTAGCCAATAGACTATAAATAAGAAAGAGTAGAGGATTACTGACTTCAGAGTTGCCTTTTTCGTCTTTGAGAGAAATGCCACATGTACTATGTCTCCATACTGCCTCAGTGACTGGATAGGATGGTTTTGGAAACTGGATGATTAGATATGGAGATGTTCTTAGAAAGTGGATTGTCTTTGTTGGCTGTTCAGCCTAACTCCAAGCTTGTCCTGCTGTTCACTGGTAGAAATGAGGAATGATTTCCTGAGACTTTGTTATATGTTTATAGAGTTGTAAGTTGATAGACTTTCTCACTTTTAATTTTTCACTTCCTTTGGTACCAAACCATTATTTTTGATGTTCTAGCAGTCCAAGGGAAAGCAGTATCTTAGCTGTTTCTACAATTATTTTTCTTCCATCCTGGCCCTTCCACTGTTTCACCTCACTGAGGATGCTCTGTGATTTCCATGCCCTGGATGGGCAGCAGTAGTGGCACTCGAGTGCCGTCTGGCACTTGGAGCACAGGCGCTGAGCTACAGAGCACTGTGGCTTTCCATGAGCCACTTCCTGCAGAGCAGCCCGGATGCTGTAGAAGAGTCTAGCACACTCTAAAATAGTGGTTATTATTCTTCAAGCTGGAAGAGAGAGAAAAAATAACATCATTTTATATAAGGTCCCTCAATCCAAAACAAACATCCAAATACCACACAAGTAGCTAAAAAGTCTCGTTTATGACTAGTATTGGTCACTATAGATCACAGTAATATGGATATGTATGTGGACAAACTCCATTCCAAGCTATCCTGAAGCCAAGGGCAAAAAACCAACCATCCAAACAAAAAAACCCAAACAACAAAAAAAAGATACCCAAACCCCTATTGCTCTAGATAAACAGATGGATAGTTAGAGGTTTAATAGAAACCTCACAATTAAGGAAGGATACTGAGCAGGATTAGGAAGTAAGAGACAGTGAAGGTATCCTGATTGCCTTAGAGTACAGAAAGATATACTGTCTGTTCATTTGGCCTCCACTTTCCGTGGTACTTTCACATCCAGAAAGACCCGTTATGCTCAAGAGTCCCAGAGACAGACTACAGCTTCTGTCACAGTGAATGAGAATGATGCTGTTTTGTTTTGTTTTATTTGTGATAATTAAATACATTTGTTTAATATTATACTGACAGGGCCTGAAAAATCAGGAAACAAAACAAAACACAGGCAAAGATGAAGGAGTTGTTCTTTATTCACTGTGGGGAGCTGTGACCAAGTGAATGCTCTTAACAAGTTCCAACCAGGCTGAAAAGGTTGTCTCCCCATGGCTTGCCCCAAGGGGCAAAGGAAATATTGCCCATTACTCTGGGGAGAAGGACACTGACAGCTAACAAGACAAACACGGGGAGAAACAAAAAATAGACAATTTACTTCTCTCAACTCAGAGACGAGTACACATGAGTAAAATGAAATTTGCCTACACCTTATTCTTTTCTTGAATGATTTGTAAGAAATAGCACTATAAATCGTTTTTGGTTTATGCTATTGTTCTGTGCTGTGCCTCTGTAAATACTAAAATAAGACTCTTCTTTTTCATGTGGGCAAAGACTCTTCATTTTCATGTGGGTTGTCTCTTTTGAAGAGGAGGGTTTCCTCACCATTTGAGTCACATTAATTATAAATTTGACCATGTGACCCCAATGGGGGAAAAAAGGGCCTACAGAAGTAAAACACAACAGGGCCTGTTATCTTACTATGGTTGATAAATATGTGAACTATCAGTCCAGGAACAAATGTTTTCAACCAAAAAGAGCTACAGGTAGCAAATTGTGTGCCCAGATTGGTGCCTGTGAGAGGGTCACCCATAACTGTAAGAGTTTCACCTTCAGTGTTTGTCTTGAAGGCTCCCTTTGCTGGGCTAAGTTTCCGTGAATGCAGCTGTGTGGTTCACAGCTTTGCTCAGGTCAGCTGCAAAGTGTTTTACAGCAGCAGTGCAAGGAAATCTCTTTTTTCCTAAAGCTGAAAGTATTGTGCAGTTCTCCTGAGCTTGGCTGGCCTAAGTAAAGGATATTAATGGTATGTCTGAAAGCACTATACAAAATCAGAGAGAATTTGTGGCCCAGATCCCAACTAGAATTCCCAAGCGACAGTAAATTGCTATGCTGCTCCCAGCCCCCCTTGCAGTTTTCATTTATTTATTTTTAGGCTCTTGCTTATCATATCAGTAATGTGGTTAGAGTTTAAAAAAATAATTAATGACAAGTTTAAAAACAGAACCTTTTTTGCGGGCAATTACAAGACAGCATGTTCGAATTAGTGGCCTTTGTGGAGAAGGAGTAGTGTATCAGAACAACTGGATATTCTGTCAGTAATAGGGACAGTACCATTCCTTTTTTAATTGAATGAAATTAAATGAATTTCAATTAATGTCTAATTAGGGATAAATATGACTAGACTCTAGTGTATACTTATGAGTCATATTTGAACTCTTTCAACAGCTAAAGAAAGACTGTTGCTAAGGAAAGGTCATATTTTGCAAGAGCACTTCTTTCCCGACTACAAAATTTAATCATTATTTCTATTGCTATCCTTTTGGATTTACCAGTTCTGCTTCTGTATTATGCAAGTAGAAGTTGACAGCTGCTAGGTGAACCCCTTAATCAGCAAGGTTCGTTGATCAGAAGAGAAATCTTGTGGAAATTCAGGTTCTTCAGTGGAAGCTGTGACAGTTACTGTCAATGAATATAGAATAAAAATGGGAATTAATAAGGTCAGATGCTATTAAATGCTGTAAAAACAGGCAGCACCAGTATAATTGTAAAATGATATATGTGATTTCAGAGGATGTTTAAAAGCTCTTTGAGTAGAGAGACAGAAATCAATCTTCACCTTATCTTTAAAAAAGCCTTGAATAACATGCGTTTTGAACTTCAGGGAAATTTTACTCCTATCTTTTGCATTAAATCATAAGAATCGTTCTTAGTGCGCTAGATTTTGAAGTTCCAGCTTTACTTTTCAGACAAAGTGGAGGCA